AGCGCCGAAACCAAAGCCGAAACCCCAAACCTGAAACTAAATAACCCTGGACTCTTGTACCATGAACTGCAGATTGTATGTTTGGTGACTCTATCTTAGGGGAACTATGGGGGTAAGGTATATGGGGTATATTAGAGGGATACTGGTGGTATACTACGCGTATTATGGAGGTATATGACAGGTTTTCTGGGGCGTTATGGCTGCATTGGTTGCTCGGGACCACTTTCCAAAGGTTGACAGCTGGCCAACATAAGGTGACCACCGGCCGGTCAACTCATTTTGGCTAGCTGGCGACCTCTCAGATAAGGTGACCGCCGGCCGGTCACCTTATTTGAGAGGTCGGGAAACCTATAAAAGATGCTCATGCTTAACGGTCGTGAGGGGGGAGGGGCGGGAGAAGGTTTCTGGGGCGAGATGGTGGTTTATTGGGCGCTCTGGAGGAGGCTTGGGAAGGTGTCGCGTCCGGAAAAGCGTTGGAAATTAAGTGCCGGCCAGCTGGTCGTCCGTACCGCGCCAGCACGCAGGAATCTCACGCGTCGGTCAGCTCATGTTCCTTCCCGTAGCTCGGGCGCCCGTACTCGTCGGTTCCCGTTACATCCGGCCTGGTTCCGGTTGCACGCCCGGTGGTTCCCGTTACCTGCGGCAGCGGCTACAGTTTCACCCGGCCCCGGTTCCGGTTACCCGTGGCCAGGTTTCCGTTTCACGGTTCCCGTTACGCCCTGGCACGGTTCCCGTTACAGCCTACACCCTCGTGGACAATACTGTTGCCCTCAAGCAGGTCCTCTTCGCCGGACCTGGAGAAGTTAGCGCAAGTCATCCGCTGAACTGTACCCTTTATTCGGAATGGATTCCATCTAAATCCAAGTGGGCAGATGACATATCTCGCCTTGGGTGGGCAGACCCCTGGCCTCAGGCCCATGGCTTCGAGGTCTTTTCTACGGTGTTTCCGCACCTGCTCTGGTCTCTCCCTTTTCCAGCAATTATCAGGGTCGTAAATTCTTGTAATGCATTGGGAGTGAGTGCCTTGGGTGGTTCCCTCGTGGCATGGATGCCACTGGCGGAATGCCACATTACTCATGTGTGCCAGAATGTGGCTGCCTGGGTGACAGGAACCCAATGCATTATCCCAGAGGCAGCCTAGGTTGAACTGTGCGACTGCTGCCATCCTGGAGTGAGAAGAGAGTTCCGGCGCGCTTGCATTAAGTGACGTAATGCACTGAACTTGGGATTGAATGAATCTTCATCAAATTTCATATTTCTTCGGTTTCAATTTTCTCCACAATTGTCATCGACTTCCGGAGGGTACAAGGGCAACATGCACAGGTTTTGAAACGTCGTTCGTTTTCTTTTGTTCTTATTAGTATGGCTCCTTATCCTTGCCTGATCAAAGCGCTGCGAGGATACACTTTTTGTAGTCTTCCTGTGTTCCACATTTAGCATATGGGAGGGGGGTGCGTTTCTTCCAACCCCCCGGGTGTTGTTTTGCAAAACCAATGCGCGCAAGCACCTGTCATTGTGCTTCATTTTTTCACCAATTGTCATCATCATGTTTCATGATGTTCAATATTCGTGTCATGATTCCCCATGTACTTTGTTGCACGCAATTTTTCCGCATTTCTATCACTTATTATAGTTTTCATAAACGTTTATTATCCCATCATTTTTCATGATTTTCAACATTTTTTTATTTCCGCGTCCCATCATCCTCAACAATTGCCCCGCATACAAAGCGTTGTCGTGATTCTTGAATCTCATGCGTCAGTGTTACCATTCTAATTATTGCGCTTGTATGCATCTCATCGCCGTCGTCCCCCATATTCTGTTGCAAAATCGTGCTCTTGCCTGGTGTTGTCGAGTGGAGAGTCCCCATGTTATGCTCCAAAAGTGTACCCTCACTTGGAGCGTCCTTACATTCTGCTCCAAACTCGTTCTCTCATTTGGAGCGTCCTCAGGTTCTGCTCCAAGATCGTGGTTTCCAGGCAAACAAGAAAACACAGGCGTAAACAACATAATGCCCACAGAAAATCTTCAGCCGTGTGTTTCGGATCGATTCCTTGGCCGTTCTCACTGTTTGTGGCTTTTGAGCGGGGTCTTACTTCGGACCCAGGGCTTAGAGGAGCGAAGCAAAGTATGCGTACACGCACACACCAAGTTTCGGGGCTTGCCAAAGAAGAGACAGCTCAGGACCCATGGTTGGCGCCCAAGCTTGGAGCTTGAGCATCCAGCGTTGCGTTTGTTTTGGCGCTTTGATGTGATCATGCGACATACCCTGCTCTGGCAGCAATGAGCAGCTGAAAAGCAGGTGACCACGATGTCTCACTGGACCGATCAGAAGGTATGCAGGGTGCAAGGCAGCAGATCGCGTGAATTGTGTGACGCAGCTTGCAGTACATGATGGTTCTCGACAGGTTACGATCGGTGGCATTTGGCGACAGACTCAAGAAAGTGTTGACGTATTTTCATTATCCTTCATTGTTGTCAGACTGCTCCATTTACCATCAGCACGTCACCAAGGTGGCTACAGTGGATATGGATCTACGATCTCATAGCCTTGACAATGCTTGGGTAGTCTCAAGTCTCACAGATTCGGTGAAAGATGCTTGTCCGGCTGCCTGCCCTTGCTGTCAAGGGCTGCAACTTTCTCGATCTTTCGAAATGGTAGGGCGAGGCTCATGTCAACATTAACATGTGTCAGGACGCCGGCAAGGGAAGCAAGGGAGACGGAAAAGGCAAAGGCAAGGACGTCAAGGGCGGCAAGGCACGCCACTTTCCGTGAATACCACCTTGTGCCATCATCTTGGCTTATGACATGTCCTGCCGCAGAAGGCCAGCAAGGGCGATGCTGGCAAGGCGGGTGCTGGCGGCTACATTTGGGGGCCTTATCTACAATTCATAGAGCGAATAAAATGTGCGCGCGGTAAGGAGCGCGCAAGGCTGTAGTCCAAATATGGTCCTCGCAATGCAGGCTGCGAAGCAAGCTTTGTTCCTGTGGTTGATGAAGCGTGGGGCTAGCAATTCATGAAACAGGAAATCGTGGGTATTACAGTGTTTGCGACTGGGCGTGCAGGGGTGTGCCGTAAAGCAGTTTCCGACCAAAAATGAGTATTGAACAATGCGCATTTGCCTTCCTGCTTGTCGCGTCATGGTTCTGAAATGTGAGTCCCGTGGATTTCATCGCTAGGCTGGCAAAGGGGAGAAGGGTGGCAAGCTTCGCACTCAGCGCACCCGCAGCTCCGATTGATCCTCTGCAGTGGCATGACATTTGATGTTCCAGAAAAAGTGGCACAGCGCAGCCTTGACTTTTACTTGCCTTCAGTCAAGTCTTAAGTCCGGCGAAGCTGCAAACACATGTGTGATTTGACAGGGGAAAGGGCGGTGGCAAAAGCAGCAGCCGACGCGGCTTGGCAAGTGAGAGACCAGGTTGTGTAGCATTTTGCAAGGTTTTTGCTGACAAGCTTCCAGGGTGCATTGTGCCTTGATCTCGATGGATTTAAGGTGATGGCGCTGCTATCGGAGAGCTGCTGCCCGAAGCCAACGAAGAGGCCAAAGCCTAGATTATTGACAGCTCCTGATAATTGTCAATAGAGTTTTTCCAGGTGAAGAAGGAGTTCGAGAAGGAGTTTGACGTCACGGCCGCGAACTCCAAGCTGCGTGCTTGGATTTACATCCTCTTCTGGTCAATCTGGGCATGACCTGGCTCAAACCAATCAATGAGGGCAAGAAGCTTTCATGATGGGCTTAGGTTCGATAAGGCTGCCGTAGCCAAGGAAGGCGAAGATGGCTGCTCCCTCAGAAGTGCTATGTTGTCAAAGCGCAAGCTGCTGATTTGTAGTTGGCCTAGTCTTTCCCATGCCCATCCCACTCTATGCATTTCCGTTTCTGACAGAAAGCTGCTTTCACATGTTTCTTCACTGCCTCGCGTGTTTGCCAGGCATCCTTTGTCTTCCGTATGAGTGCATCAAGGGACAATAAACGACAGGTGATCAGCTGAAGCCACTCCCTGGCTACGACAAGACCAAATCTTTCTTCGACTCCATCTCCTGTGAGGCCACACGAGACATGAAGCGCAGAGTTGCTTGCATTTCCACGCCTTGCCCTCCAGTTTCCTCACTGACATCTTGCAAAGGCCACTGAACGCTCAGGCGCTGCAGACAGGCCCAAGGCAATTTGGGTCGGGGCTGTGCAGGTCTGCCCGAGAGTTCCCCGTTTATGTGCGACCTTCAGCTGCGTCAACTGCACTGCTTTACTCTTTTGGCACTGCCGCCTTCTGCTCAGGACGCATAGGACGAACGGCGATGTCGTAGCCATGGAGTCATGAGCATAGCACATGCACGAGCTGGTCAGCAAACCTCCAGAGTCTTGGCAAAACACATTTCACACAGCAAAAGGCATTGCAAGAAGCCTTTGTGTGTTGCCCCAGTGCTTTGCCCAGAGTCGAGGCGGCTCACGACCCTAAGATTAAAGGCGTAGAGAGCGCTCCGTTTTGCCTCCGGCAGCCGCTGGTTCGGAGTGGTGCGCATCCCCCTCTCAAGCAGTATTTGTAGACGAGTGACTGTGAACGTCACATGGTTTGCCAAATCTTGGCGAGCGATCGGGTCCTTTAGTGATAAGGTTAGTTGCAATGGACTAGTTGCAGGGATAGCAAGCTGACTTGAGTTGTCTTGGATGCTGCTTTGCAGCTTTCTGCAACAATCCCAAGCTTTGTTTCCACGTGTTTCTCTCAGTGCCCGCATCTCCACCGTGCAGAGCGCAAGAATGCCAGGGAGCTTGTTACAAACGTAAATCATTCTGACACGTGTGTGGGTGGCGTCAGTCATGCAGGGAGAGCCTTTTTGGGCCCTCAGTTTAGCAAGGTCCCAATGTCAGATGGCTACGCCGCTGCGCGGCCCGGTGAGGTGTGGCACGACTGTGAAGCACACTGTTTTTTTGCCAATGGTCTCGCATGAGAGTTGTGTGGCTGCAGCTAAAGTGCTCGAGCTAGACTTCAGTATCCAACAGCCATGCAGCCGCCTGAGAATCAGTCCTTGGCCTTGAATGGCCGAGAGGTCAATATACAGAATCTGCCCCATCTCCAGCCACTTGGTCAACGCATGGCAGCTTAGTGGCATTGACGCCTCTTCAGATGGAGCATTCCAGCCAAGGCAGTACAATGCCAAGCGCAGGCGCGGAATCTTCTGCGCCTCTCTGACAGCCAAGCCCAGTTTTTCTGGACTAAGGGAGGCAAAGATGAAGGTGACCTGGCAGCATTTCCGACATGTTGTGTGCCCATGGCATGCATTTCTAGGAGATCCAGACCGGGGTTGACCTACTGCAGAGTGTCGGCATCTTTCCTTCTCGAAGATCCTTGGCTGAAAGCCCAAAAACGAAGAAGTTGCACTCTAAAGCATGCGCAGTAGCCAGATGCTGGAAGATCGTGAGTCGGTGTTAGGACCTTGTCAAGATGTCGTTTGGGCCGTCCTTTTCTTGAGCGTTGTCGCAGCAACAGCATGCTTCTCCATCTACTACTTCCAGGCGGGATGACCCGGGAATGTGGAGCGTGAAGTATGCACCAGCAAGTTGCCAGGACATTGACACGAGCCGGAACGAAGACGCCGCCTTTCGAGCTCCTTGCCTGCATGTGGTGACGTGAGACTGGTTGGAGCAGCAATGCGCAGTCGTCTGTTATTGAATCTGAGGACCATGAGACTCTCAACCACCAACAGGTCGAAGCGTTGACTGCGCATGTTGGCAGGCTGACCCTGGCAGGCGAATGGACAAGAGATTAGAGAAGGCTTCAGACTTGGGTCCAGGGCTTGCGAAATTGTAGACCTTTACAGCAGAGGTCAGTCTGAAGAGAAGCAGGTTTGTAAGACTTTGGGAAGCCCTTCAGGCGTTGCTGGTACGTTGGCCTCTTTGGTTTTCGCTTTCTTCTTCATGATGCTCGCAAAAGCCTGTGCCAAGCCGTTGGTGTGGATGCCTCAACAACGAGATGTAGAGTGTGTATGAATCCCGACGAGAGTTGCTTTGCATTCGCAGGGTCCCAAATCCTCCAGGGCTCAGTTGCACCTGTAAGGTATGCTGCGCTGTTCTTTGTCCCAGCGCTTACTATTGTTGCCGGCCTTGTCCTGCTTGGCTTGGTCATGGCGAGGCGTGCCGATGGGAACTGGAAAGCCGCATGATTTTCGGTGGCAGCAGCTCTTGCATTGCCGCTGCCCAGGGAGCCAGTGTCAGTGATGTCTTTGATACCAGGAGTCCGGGGCATAAAGAGATGTTGAAGTGAAGACCGAGAGTGCACAGCGTGTGCCTGCTTGCCACCCTTGAGGAGGCTGTTTGGTCGCTTTGGGTGTCTGCTACGCCAGCTGTGTCTGCTGCTGCTGGCGCAGGCTGGAGTTGATGAATCTGCAGCGCTCGGTTTGCATATCATACCTGAAGTCGTGCATGTCCCAGATCCGCAGTGGATGGAATTCCCAGGGGCTCCATTTGAAATACGTTTTTTGTTCCCTAGAGATGAACCAGGGTTGGGTGTGCCGTTGTGGTCACAAGCTGAAGATGCATGCAGAGGGCGCTAGATGATGCTAGCTTTGTTCGTCGCGAGTCTGGCTGTGAAGCGTACAGGGTCCCCATCAACTCCAGCTTCGCTGTGTTGGCAGTCAATTCCCGAAACCCCAGATATTGCAATCTGCAGTCCTCTGCGCATGTGAAATCCGTAAACTGCCATAAGACACTCACTTTCTGGCGTGTCCGCACAGCCCTGCGCAGATATATTCCCTTCACAGTTGAAGTGGTAGAGATGGCACCTTGCCAGCATCTTTTGCACAGTGCCACACTCCTCGATCCTGCTGAATATGCCATTCAGGTAGCGGAGATCTCGAATGACAATCCATGTGAGCTGCCAAGTTTGGCAGAGCAGACATGAAACCTCAGCGACTTCGCAAGGAGGCAACGTCAAAGCTCTTGATGTGCTGAGGCATGGTGGCTGTGTCCGTGCTGGGTTCATTTGCAGCTGCCATTTGGGTGATGCTGGTTGCCATCTGCTGGGTGGGGGTCACAATCAAGTACAAAAGTGATACTGCAGACCAAGATTTGAGCCTTGTCGCTGACTATGCAGTGGGACCTTGACCATCAGCCTGCCCTTTGCGTGTTTCTCCTTCGCTCAGGAATGCAAGTGAGCCCATCAATTTCGTCTTTCTGAAGCAAATGGCAATTTGCTGTTCAAGCCATGCTGGGCATACATTGTAGGCCGTGAGCTGAGGCATTTCTCTTTCTCATTTGTTGGGGAGGAGGTGTCATCCACAACGTGTGTCACACCAGCTACTGCGGAGTGTTTGGGCGATGGTACTTCAACGAAGAAGGTCGGTGCGCAGCTGTGGCAGTTACCAACTGAATCAGCGATGATATGGGATGAACTTGCAGTCAGAAGTTTGGAGGTAAACAGTTCTTTTCATGCACGGCTCTATTTGCCTTCAGGACCGTTGTGGAAAATACAGGAGTCCGGCAACATGAGTCAGAGCGGTATCTGTCCCTTTTGAGAGGCTGGCCATTGGTCAGCAGTGTTCGTGTGGCTTTGACAACTTCTTTTGGCACCTGGACTTTAACACGGCGCATTTGATTTCGTGGGATCATGCATAGGCTTCCCAGGACGACCCAACTGCCCCCCCAAGAATACACACAAAACATGGGCTGAAGCTATGTTGTTTTGACCGTGGGTCTTACATGTGGTGTATATACGTAGGACTTATATATACTCTCTGCATGGTAAGTTCTTGCGGTAGTTGCCTGAGTCAGATACATTCTGCAGCCAAGGCAGTATCTGTCTTGGGTCCTTGGTTGTGGCTGTTATCCGAATGATTGAGTATGCAGTCCAGGACTCAGAGGGCAGCTTCTGTTCTGTGTGCAGCTGGCCAAAATTTCCAACTCGCAAGTTTCAGTGCACATAACCATGCATCCAAGAGTTTGTGAGGTTCGTGTGGCACAGCAAGAGGCACAATCAGAAGGCACAAAGAAAGCTGATGCTGGTCTTTGCTCCGTTTGTCCGGACCACTTGTGTGCGCTGGAGGTGGTTTGGAGTCCCATGCCCGTTTGTCTGTTTGAGTTGCAGCCTGATTCCAGCATTTTCCAGTAGTTTGGTCGGCAGAGATGCTACTGGTACTAGCTCATCCAGTGCACGGCGTCTTTCAGTGAGTGCAAAGCGTATAGAGGGTAGCGTGCCTAGGCCGTGGAGCAACACCTGCTCAGATCGCTGACCTTGAGCTTGGTTCATCCTTTACTGCAGGCAACTACGTCGCGTGCGTTGTCTTCTGCGTGCTGGACTGCTTTATCTCTTGCATAGGAGCCCTGTTTGCCAGATGCGCTCCGGGAAGCAGCTTTTGCTGGGTTCCTGCGCCCTGTTGAAGCAGCCTAGGAGACATCCTGGAATACTTCAATGAGTGGGCATATGCGACTTGGACCCCCATACAGCTTGTACCAAGTGATCTCAGCTTTGGCGGCCTTTCCTAGTCTTAGTCAGCAAGATGTTTCGGCCTTATGCTTGCCTTCACACACTCAATGCGTATCTTTCACTGTGCTTTGCAATCATGAGTGCCGTTTCGATTACAGATATTCCTTTTACTGCTAGCATTACTGTTATATGTATATTGCTAGTGGTACCACTACGGCTGACACTGCCACGAGAACTATTCCCAGTGCTGCTGCTGCTACTACTGCAGAAGGCCCCTCAAAATCATTTCCAAATTGCAAAACCTGCCTTGAAAGGCTACTGCTGCTGCTACAACAGCAACAACAACAACTACTGCCGCTGCTGCTACTCCTACTACTATTATGACTATGACTATTACCACTACTACCACTACTATTATTATTATTACTACTACTACTACTCCTGGTGCTACTCATACTACTGGCTACTACGCATCCGCTACCAGATCAAGCCTAGGACGCAGTCGCTGTCTAGGAGCCGCCAGCAGACAGCTGCTGAAGCCTTAACAGAATTTCTGGGCCCCTCAATCTCTCATTTGTCGTAGCAAGATTTCATGGCCCTCGCTGATCGTGAAGCAAACCGTTGAGAGAATGCATGATATGGCTTTTCCCTCAGGTTCTTGCACAGAGCATAGCTGGCCCGATTCCAATTCCGGGGGGAGACCGGAGACCCAAGCATTTGCCGAGCAGGCAAAAGCCCCCCTAAGTGTCAAGGTTCTAGCTGCTCCAAAGCGGATGACAGGTGTGAATTCATGATAAGATCGAAATTTCTTTTTACGTGCGTGCAGTCAGGCAATCTCACATGGAACAGTTAATTACTACCCCAGGAGGCCAGGAACCCAACGCTTCAAAGCCGACATGTGCTCAAGGCATTGCTGAGACTGGCAAATAGCCGGAAGCAGCAGGACAGGCGCAGTTCGCAAGCCCAGGTGAGGGACTCCCATTGGGAGCCATTGCAGTCAGCTCTCCCGGCTCATGAAAGCGAAAGACAGCGCTCATCTACAAGGAGAGGTGGACGCCGGCCGCAGGCCGCTCAGACCATGGAATGCTGGAGGTATGAGTGCGCAGCTATGGTCAGAATTTTCTGCATGGTTTCAGACAGGCAGCTGCAGATTTGATGTAGTCATAAATGAGTCAGGAGAGGCACTGGTCTGGCTGCTCACATCTCATGAAGCATGGTTGGTCGGTTATTGCGTACTTCGGGATTGGAACAGTGAGCCGTTGCAGCAGGACTCATGATCTTGCGGTGCATAGAGATCGAACATCGTCCCTCGTCAAAGCGACTCAGGACGGTCTGGCTCAACGCTGCAGGCGTGCAATGCAGACTCAAAGCTCGTCGTTAATCGTTGCCAAGCAGTAAGATGGTGCGCGACATGATTTCTTCACATGCGAACAATCCATCCCACAGAGTGGGCAAGATTTGGAACTATGGGCTTTATTTAGTGCAGCCAAGGCAAAATCCTACGTCTGAACAAGGAACAGTCCTTGTGGAAGCTGATGTCTGTGTAGAAGTATCCTTGAGGAGGCGGTGCAGGGCCCATTCAGCTATGAAAGCGGGCCGGCGACTGCAACAAGATGGGAGCGGAGATTTCAAAAACTCAATAGCTAGTGACTATAGACTTGGGCGCCTGTAATTTCCTATTGCCTCTGCTTGGCCCTCCCCCTCTTTATCCCCCGCCAGAAAAATGCAGAGGAAAACAAAGCCATTGTAAACCCACCCCTCCTTTTTTCTCCGCCAGCAGCCGCCTTGTTCTACCAAGACTGATGCGGAAGACAGGAGAGGCGCAGTGTCACTTGTGGAGTCTCGTGTGATCACCATAACCCGGCCTCGCTTCCTTGAAAGAGCTTAGCAGACCCGGCAGCTAGACAGCGTAGAAGGGGACATGAGCATCCCAATTTTTGCGCAGGCCGATCAGGTCAAAGCAAATCGTGCAGAAGAAGAGATGGAATTGAGCATCTTGGAGCCTCCCTGCAGTCAGGTCACTATTGAGCGTTCTTGCTTCGTCCTCAGAGATGACATGCCCCAAGTCGCCTGTGCCGCTCCAACGCGACAGAAAACTGTGCTTCAGGATGCTTACGTGATGGAATACCGTCTTCGCCAGGCTCCAGCTCTCTCTCCAAGATCAACGCCTGAGCAGGCGTCAACCCCTTCAGATTCGGCCTATTTCCCAACAGCTGCGTGTTCTGCGCTGCAAAGAGACAGCCACCTTGACGTGCAGATGTTAGCAATGGTTTAGGACTAGTGACCACCACCTGGACATGCTTAAGGGTGTTAGCGCCCGGTGTCGAAAGGGGCGTGCAAGTTTACCTACAGCTGTCCAGATTTTTCAGGTCAGCGCTGCAGCAACGGCTTCAAGATTTTTACTGCCTTTGAGGGAAGGAGGACCGATTAGCGCCATGGCATCAGCAGAAAATAGCTAGCTGGGGTGGCCTCGCTAGAAGTATACCCCACAAAGTCCTAGCCAAGTTCACCAGCCTGAATGGGAGTTCTTTCATTTCACGTTTCACTTGCCCGCCAAAGTGCAATGGATTCGCGTGAGCATTTGAGTGCGAAAATCAACAGCAGCAACAACAACAACTACTCCTGCTCCTGCTACTGCTCCTGCTACTGCTACTGCTACTGCGACTATTCAAGCGCAGCCGGTCGTCGATCAGCTAGTGAACAGCTAAGTGGCAGCGACTGCTCGCCGGCGCGTCGAGTGCGCTAAAACCACAGTGTGAGTCAATGCTTCGAGTAGCTATGTGAGTGACTCTAGCCAACGTCCAACAATCAGCCAATAGACAGCGCAAGGAGCTTGCTCTTTCGCTATACACCCGCGCAGCAAGTTCTCACTAAACCATCAGCTCAATGGAGGAAAGCTTTCTGGGCGCGTCCAGCTGTAGATCTCCGCGTCACACAGGTGCTACAGGGACTCATCGCATGGCGCAAGCTGCCTCCTCAACCTTGTGCCGTGCAGGCCTGCTTGAGTTACTGGCTCGCGAGGGCCATGTGTAGCAGGAGCAGCGAATGACGCCACATTCCCGAAGATTAACGCCTCTTGACAGGCTCTGGAATACTCTGTGGTCTTGGTCAGCGTCAAGAGAGGCATCCAACCTGGAATTATAGTCACCAAGGATGACGAGGTGGGAAGAGTTAGAATGTTCGGAAATGATAGTGTTTAGCTGTGTCCAGAAATGCTCCTTTCTGGCTTCATCCTCTGTAGAATCCTCTGTGCGCAATGTGACTTCACCTATGCGTGGGGAATGTGCTAGAAAATTATAGGCGTGGGGTCCTAGGGATGGGGAAACAAAAAAACAACTCCATGGTGCTTGGAATGAGAAGCACCAGAGTGTAGAATCTCCCAGCCTGACTTAGTAATGTAGACTGACTCGCGTTTGGTCGTTTGAACAGCCAAAAGATGGACATGTCTAGATTGAGCAAAGGAAATGATCTGATCATACTTGGTCATTTCTCTGAGGCCTTCCACGTTCCATGTAGCCATCTGAAGGCTGAATCCACGGGGATAGAAGTAGACTTATCAACGGCTCTTAGTTGGTTCATACGCTTCGCAAATTTACGGGATTGAGAAAGGAGCCTATACTGTGCTGCTGGCTTTGGACAGATCAGGGCCTTAGGATTTTGGCTTCCGTGTGTCCGCAGGGGGGCCTCCTTGCGTTGGGATTTCCATACTCGAAAATCCTGTTTAGCAGCTCGCTGCTTTGACTTTCACAAGGCAAGTCTATTTGCGCAGGTGGTGTGAGAACGATATCCCCTGTGAGTGCCCCTGAGAGCGCGTCGGTCTTGGTAGAAGCTCTGAACAAAATGATAAGGAGACTCAGCCCTTGGAGCTCGTACTGGAAAATCATGCCAATGGTAAACGTCGTCTCTGTCGTCCATATCGTAAATGTCGTCGTCTGGACCGGAATGGTCTTCATAACGTAGATCATTCCATTGGTAAATGTTGCGGGATTGACCCGAGTCTTCCATTTGCTCGGAGCTGGAATTGAGTTTAGGTTGCCAAAATCTCCGAAACTGCTGGGGTATGTCCAACGGCTTCCCGGCCCGCCTCCTCTGGAGGCGGCCGACCGTAGCATGATCCCGTGTAATCTAGGAAAGGATCGTCGATCAGTGTCGATCTCATAGCTACTACCTCTACGGTAATATTTCACCGAATTTGAAAGGAGTGCTCCCATAATTTGGAACGAAACCTTGGGGTCTGGATTTCAAAGGATACAAAGTTGCCATTAAGGGAATGGATTTGCTTGTTCAAGCTACTACGGGCGAAGCCTGATAACGTCATTCGCTGCTGGTGCATGTTCGGCTTGGTGAAACTGCGCAGATACTGGCAATTGGCCCTGGGGTAGTTAGTAAACTTAAGGATTTTGCGATATCTGAAATATGTACAGCTGCTCACTTGTCTTGGTGAAGCTTGGGCAAGGTTGTTGGCAGAGCTATTTCCTAGACTCGTATGCGCGGCTTTGTACACACTGTTTGTGCATTGGGCAGAGCCCCGTTGAGTGATGTAGGGCTCCGAAGAGCCGCTGACATCTAACGTAAATGTTTCCATTGGTAAATCTCGTACCAGCAGAGCCTTCCATGGAAGTGAAAATTCCATGGCCAACTGAGAACATGGCGTAAATCTTTTGGTGAAGGGGCCCGGAGATCCCCAAGCTCCTAACGTAAATCTTTCCATTGGTAAGTTTGGGCTGCTCAAATGGAGAATCCATTGGCAGGAGCGTTCCATGAAATCATGAAGGCATAACGTAAATCGGCTTGTGTCGGGGTCCTTGGATCCCCTGGCACATAACGCAAATCTTTCCGTTGGTAAATCTGCATTTCGATCGATAAGCGAAGATCCATGTGGTGGAGTCAGCCAAGGGTGTTGAGGCGGAATCGCCGATTGGTGCACAAACGTCACGCGTGCAGGCTGTGTGGAGTTGCTGGCCATCGAAAGTTAAACTTCTCCGAGCGTGGTAGGCGGTGGGGTCCGCCAATTGAAGCAGTAGCCACACAAGCGCGCCCAGAGAAAAAAAACAAAAAAGCAGCAAGAGCGCCGTAGAGTGTTCAAATGCAGAGACGGCCAGTGCAAAGCTGCTGTAGGGTACCCTGGGCACTAGCCGGTTGCGAAGCGTTTGCAAACGACCCGGACGAATCTTGGGAACGCCGAAGCTCTGGTAGCTGTATGCTTTGGTAACACGAACGTTATTCTGTTGGCCAGCATGGATGCTCTGACAACTGTATGCGCCGCCGGTAACACGAACATTGTTATCTTGGCCAGCATGGATGCTGTGTAATCAGATGCGTTGTTAACACGAATGTTGCTATCCTGGCCAGCATGGATGTGCTTGTAAAAGGAACCCTATCATCTTGGCCAGCATGGGTGCTGGTGTAACCTGTATGTTGGTCAGCATGGATGCTCTGCCAATTTTATGCGTTTTCAACACGAATGTTATCATCTTAGCCAACATGGAAGCTTTGGCAAGCGCATGTTCTGGTAACACGAGTAGTACGTAATTATCTCGGCCGGCATGGATACAAAATAACACAAAAAAAACAACCGGGCACATAATTTTCAAAATCAGCAAGTTTCCTGAGCAAAAACACCATTCCGAGACACAAACTTTCAAAATCATCAAACCTCTGCAGCAGCAACACCATTTCGACAAACACCGCCCTTCACCCAAAAAACGTGTGACATCGTGGGGCAGAAAATTTTCAGAAATCGTCAACTTTCCACAGTGCGAAGGTCATTTTTGAGACAAGTAATTACGGATTAATACACAGTCGGGTAACAGACGGGTATTAGTACTGGTACCACCCCTTCTATTACTACTAGAACTACTATTACTACTACTACTATTACTACTACTACTACTACTACTATTGACTATTGCTATTACTATTGCTATTACTATTGCTATTACTATTGCTATTACTATTACTACTACTGCCACTACTACTACCACTGCTGCTGCTGCTAGAACTACTACTCCCACTACTCCTACTAGTACTAATATTACTACTACCACTACTACCACTACTACTACTACTACGACGACGACGGCCACTACCACCACGACTACCACTACCACTACCACTACAACTACCACTACCGCTACCATAACTACTACTACCACTACTACTACTACTACTACCACTACCGCTACCATAACTACTACTACTACTACTACTTCTACTACTACTACCAATACTACTACTACTACTACTACTGCCACTACTACTACTACTACTACTGCGAAATTCCATTCTGATATTCCTGCTTGTTCACATCTGAATTTCGGTACACTCGCCTCCCGCACCACCTGAGAGCTTCTTAAAGCCTGATTTTTTGCAAAAGTTGCCTGCATGTTTCGGCTGCTGTCCCTGCGGCTGTCCGCGATAATTCTGTGCTTAGACAGAGCGTCAGTGGGAGGCGCTGGGCCATCATCTTCCCTCCTGGTCTCTTTAGCTCATCCAGGTATTGCCTACGCCGTTCACTTCGTACTTGCGAAAGGGGCTGCTTTGACAGGCCTCAAGTCCCTCAGGAAAGTCGCAGCTGACGCGCTACAAACAGGGACGCTCTTGTGTGAAAGCCGAGGTTCAGTGTGCTCTCCGTGGAAGTTCATTTTGCAAGTCTGTGCGCGCTACCTATGCCCTCTGCGTCTGCAACGGCATTCAGAAGCTTGCCCAATCGCAGACGGTCTCCACTCTTGCATGATTGTTGCCTCGCTTTGAAGAAAGATCCACAGCACGTGCTCAGGTATGTAATTGCTGACCTCCTCGTGGACTCTGCAGCTTGGATGCGCTGGATGGTTCCTGCATGCCGCTTGGTCGCATGAAACTGCGGCAAATGTTTGTTAACCTGCTAGGTGGTTAGCCTCGGCGCTTTCATGTCTGGTTTGGTGGGATGCGGCATGGGCCTTGCAGTGGCGCTGTCCGGAGCTTGCCTCAGCCAAGATGTCCTTGCCAGACACAGGGCCATCAGACAGGAACTAGTGTGTTCACCTTTTTTTTGAAGTTCCACCTTCCAATGCTCAGGTCTGGAACGGTCACCGGATGGGGCACGCACGGGTGCTGGAGCAGGCCAAGACTATGCCATGGTGGCGATCATTGGGGGATTCCTAGGTTTCTTTGGAGGTGTCATTGGAGGCGCGGCTTTGCAAGTCTGGCTTGATCCTTGAAACGCTTCAAGCTGCACAGATTGCATGCAGGTGCAAGTGCAATGTCCATCTTCTCAAGTGGGACAAAAGCTCTCCTTACGTGCCTGGCCCCCTTTTTTGATGCATGTAGTCAAGTTTGTGAGAGATTGCCCCGCTTGGAACGGATCGACTGATCAGATTGGGTAAGCTCAGCAACCAGGGTAAAATCCACACGAAGCGGTCTTGCGAAGCTGAGGTGCTGGGCCGAAGATCCCAGACCCCTCCAAGAAGAATATTCGGAAGCTTGGCAACCCAAACTGCGTAGGGAAAAACGACACCGATTCAATAGATGCTTGTCCATGAACAAATAGATGCTGCAGACGAGGGGCATCAAGACACGCTTCTATCACAATTTTGGACGGACATTCATTTGTGAAAACAGAGTCAGAATGCTCGATATGTTTCTTGAATCTCCCAGGGCATCCATGACACCATCGCTGCAAAAATCCACGACCACGAAAGCAATTGATTGCCACCCGGCCTGCGCACAGCCCGTTTCGTCGGAAGATGCGGCCCCGAGTGCTGTGCACCTGGAGCAAGAAGTGTTGAACATGGTCTTGCTAATCCAGCTCACAACGGGACGGCTCTAGTCTTACGCAAGACTTGACATGAATGGAGCATCCATTGGACCAGTTCTTCTAAGTGCTCGCAGCACCACCACCAGCAGCTGTCAGAGCACCACGTGCAGCTCTCGCGCTTCAGGTCACAGATCTTGCGGCATTTGATAGGTCCTGAGACTTGCTCAGAGGAGCGAGAAAGTTTCGACCGAACGCGTCAAGCATCCTTGCCGATTGCTCAATGTTAGCGGAGTCAAGGTGAATCATTACTGCAGCCAAGCTGCTTTTGCAGCTTGTGCACAGATGCGGAGTCAACTTGCTTGTCGATGGATTGAAAATGTGATGCAGCAGTGTTTGATGACAAGAAACTGTGGTTTGTAGCTCTGTCTGCACGTGAACAAACTGCACATGGCCGCAGGCGAAGTGCGCAGGTTCAGGCCAGTATGCGCTTGAACCATGCGGCAGTTTTTCGCGGTTCCATTCTGTCTGAAATGCCATGTCTAGGTGAAGATGCTGAAAGGTTAAGCACTGAAAAGTCTGCTACTGAGGGGAGTTCGACATCATTGCAGGATCAGTGCTCATTCTGCACCCAGGCCAAATCAAGTGAATCATGACACGCCTCGTGAGACAATGCTGATTGCTGGGCACCCAGCGTTGTATGATGATCAAGTCGGAATGCAGAAGAGTTGGATTGGATTTGATGGGCCAGGGCTGCATTATGCGCGCGGCGAGGTGCTGCAAAGAGATGGCAGTCAGCTTGGATTTGCGTCTCCAGCCCTTCGGGCAGACAAGGAGGTGCCACCTCGCCCAGAACTGGAAGTATTCTTTTGTGACGCCCTTTTATATTCACTGGCAGGTGACGTGCAAGTTGTAGGAACTACTTGCTCGCGGCTCCTGGCATGCGCACAAGACCTTTTTGGCCGGCTCTTGTGGGCATATGTGGACAGAACATATCCAAGCTGTACACTGCGTCGCCAGCAAGCTTTTTTTTATTTAAGTGCAAGTTAGCACAACCATGACATGAAGCAGCGAAGTTGTCTGGACCTTGCATCTTGTGCGGCCTGTGTGGAAGCCATGGGGGACAATGTGCAGACCTTCATGGATTTCACTGGTGCCTCTGCAGATGAGGCCAGGCCAGTGAAGCGCTTGCAGTAGGTGGCACGTTGAAGTTGCGCAGGCGAAGATGTTCCTTGAAATGGCTGGCGGAAACGTCGAGACGGCGGTGGAAATCTTCTTGAGCAGCCAAGGACTGACTCCAGCAAGAGCAGCCTGGCAGAAAGAAGTGCTCGCCAAGCTGCAGGGGGAGATGATCCCATGACCGGCGTTGCCCCAGAGCCTGAGGCAGCCCCGATGCAACAGGACCCCTTTTCAGTTTGTGCTACCTTTGACTTGAAAGCTTTTCAATGCAAAAGGGCTGCACCCAGGGTCTGAACTCACCCAACAGACCCAAGATTCACTAGATATTCATAGTAGTAATATGGTTACTAGTAATCATAGTAGCACTAACAATCATCAGCATACAAAAGGATAATGATACTGTTAGTTGAAAAAGAGTAAAATGAATAGCCATAAGCGAAATAATAATGTTAGCAACACTAGTGATATGTAAAATGCAAATGATGAGGATAAGAAGCATCTGAATACAAACATGTAATACCGATGACAACACGAATAATTGTATGTTATTATATTGTTAATAATAATGGCGATACTAATAACAATGAGAGTAATGATAAAAAGGGTAATGCCACTGACAATGAGTGTAAGGAACATGCTAATAAACGAAATGATATTACTTACAAGCAGGGTAATGATATTGTTAAGAGGGAAAGGAAGATGTTTCATCGACATAACCAGGGCAACTGACATGTTAATGATAGTGCTGATAATTGTCCTGCCCGAACTCGGTTTGCTGCAGGACGTGCCCTCCTGGTGGGGTACCGTCTGGCCAACAGCAGAGGAGCCTCCTGAGGCCCACCATGAGTTGCATCAGTTTCAGACTATGGTTAGACTTGCTAGTGAATCTACTATGATCTCTAACCTGCCAGTGTTGCTGTGACATGTACTCTGAGGATGGTTGCCATTGCAGTTTACATCAGTTGAAGACAGCTGTTCACAGGCATGATCTGTCTCGCGCTACTAATATAAGCCTAATTCTAAGTCGGATGGTGTATCTGTTCCTGGTGCCAAGCACCGCCACAGGAGGTGCTTTGGGACCATTGTTTGCAATAACCTTTTCTAGCCAATTATGGTCAGCTTGACAGTTGGTCTATGACTCCCGTTTGCTAGATCAAGACACCCCAGGCATGCCTCCATGTATTTCAAATGTTTTCCGATTCATCTTATTCCTGATATCACCATTCAGCCTGAATGTGCTGTGTGAGGCCTGGCGTCTTCAACGTTTGGATAGCGGAGGTGGTTGGGCCGGAGGGATTCCGCAGCCAAAGAATGGACCATGTGGCGTCCTAGCTGTGGTTCATGCTTTGATCCTGGCTTCGCAATATTCACGGGCCCGCAATGTTGAGGCGCGGGTTTACAAGGTTTTGCACAGATGCAATTGTGATCCGAGTGACGCAGCTGGTCTTTCTGGTGGCATGTTTCTGATAGTTGGCGTGTTCGCTTCCTCATTTGGTTGATCATTTCAAGGGGTGGCACATTGCAAGTCACCTATAACACCTTGAATTCTAGAGCTTGCCAGACAGGCGTTTTTGAGGTGTCATTGCTCTGCAGTCATACACCCTGCACGCAGCAACCTGGCAGCGCCTGACAGCACACATGCATGCGTTGTCACTCACTAAGTAAACATGCGGGCACCGCAGCTGCCCGTTCAATCCACGCATTGCCGGGTGCGGGCGATGGCGTGAAGGATTTTTTCCCAAATGCACTTGCACCGTTTTTAGAAGGTGATCCACCCTTGATGGTACGTTGAAACCGGCACCGGCCGTGTGCAGTAACCTACCAGAAGCCTTCCCATTCTATCCTATGATAAGCGAGGATACCGAATGGGCTAGCGCCGTATGCGCCTGCCTCCTGTTCTGCCCCTGCAGCGCTGCCGGAAATTGAAAAAAATAGATGCAGTGTTTGCGCTTCTTCCACGCATGGCTTGCAACCCGTTTGGTAGAGAGAATGGCTGGGATGGCCAAGTGAAACCCAATTCCCATCCAGGACTTGGGCACAACACCGAATTTACTGCTTTGGCATGCTCGCACGGAGCTTCACGCGGCAACGGGTGGATGTGCGGTCTTCGTCCCAACATCCCAACCATGATGATGGTGGGTCTCAGCAAGGTGGGACGGAATCCGCGCAACAGTGGATGCAATAGGCCCAAAACTCCTAGGAGCAGCTTCGTGCAACCACAATCTCTGAAACCGACCTAACCCTGGCATCAAACTAAGCAACGCCAACCTCGGCCTGATCAACAAGTTTCTCCGCATGCTGCTCACTAAAATTTGTCGGCACAATTTTGCCAATCCAATACCAAACTGGACAAGCCGGGTATGGAGCAACGAAAGCCTCCCGGGAAAGGTGTGCCTTCACCTTGTGCAAGTTAGCAATTGAATTTGTGCACAGACATCTGGATGTGTGCAGTCCCAGCCCCTCCTGGCATGAAGGCGCCCAAAACGACAAATGACAGAGTCAGCATCTGTCGCAACCTCAACTGCTCCAGTAGTCAGCTGCAGCGCTTTGAGAACTGCAGCGGCTTTCGCCTGGGCACAATTTGCACAGGCCCAGTGAGTGCAGCGGTGTAGCTGCCAACCTGAACCCATTTCTCGTTGATGCAGCGCAAAGCAGCAATGGAAACGCCACACTGTCAACCTGGGATCGCTGGCGTGAGGACCCCTGGACCCATCCGTGCACAACTGGAGACCATCAATACACACCGGAGCCACCTCGAAAACACTCTCAGCTTCAGCATGCTCCTGAGGTTGAACCGGAAAGCTGGTGTGCTCAGCAGGTACCGGTAACTGATGCCAGCAGCTACGCGGATCAGTGTCAGTAAGCGGGCACTGGCCGCTGCAATTGCAACAACATCCACGGGCAAGCTTGCCTCCCCATGATGTTCAACGCCAGGGCGCCGAGACTGGGAACACATGGGGCAAACATCATCCAGTTCTGCATGGTCAAGGAAAGAGAAGGTACCGTGAACAAAGTGCTTCAACTCACTAAACCTTATGCAACTTCAGCAAAACAACAAAATCAAACTCCCCGAGGCCTCAGTCCTGGGCCTCAGTGTTGTGCTGGCTGATTCGCTGGAAAGTTGTGCATGCTGGAGGTGAGCTTCATACTGGATACCTCCCCGTATACCTCCCTGTCAGGTGTGACCCACGCATTCCACTCTTGAGGCAACCAAGCTGGCGCAAGGTGGCAATCATACCAGAGAGCGGCCCATTGACGTGTTGCAAGGATACTTCACTGTAGCAAGGTGCTCGGCACAGCATGTCCAACATCTGGCAAGGGCAAAACTCAATGACCATCGTCACGCTGTGATCCCAGCCAGCAATCTCCCTGTGGTTCTTCTACCACCTCTCAGTCAAAAAAGTTTTGCAATTCCACCACAACCCTTTATATGTAACTTCGCAAGCCAATGGGCCCTTCGGCCTCAGCTGTCTTCGGGCTAGACGGCCAGCAGCCTGTCGCCTCAAGTCTGTGAAAGAGGAACGTGAGGGCACCGAGGACTTCATCCGGCGACTGGCATAGCATATCGAAACTGAGAACGTCAGGTCCATCCTTTGTCTTTCCGCATGTTAGCAAGGTGTGTCGCAACTGGGACCTGCTGAGCGGCTTTGGTTGAGAGGGTTCCACGATTGCTTAGGTAAGATTGCATTCTTCCTAAGAGGGACATGATTATACTTTGTACTAGATACTTTATACTGGGGGCCGTAGCATCCCTAAACGTGAAACCTTAAGTGGTTTGCCACAGGCCGACCTCTGCACGGCCTCGTCAGCCCATATCTTGGCCTTATCCTTCTCAAGGCGGATACTCAGGAGTTGGGCCTCATAAACGTGATACTTCATCTGTTCAACCAATTTGGGAAATGGCTGATCTCACCAACCCCGGAAGAGCACGACCTGCAGGCCAAGCATGGAGAATGACTGCGCAAAATTCTGACCGGCATTATGCAAAATCCCGAAGCCTGAGGAGGACTGCCATCCGCCTTCCAGTGCTAAGTCAGCTTGCAGGCAGCATGCGCAATTTGCTGAAAGAGTCGCAGCTCCCGCTTAGCACAGCCCACATCGTTCCGCAACCGACAACAGTCACACACCCAACGGTTCTGTGTGCTCCAGAAGCCAACATCCTTGTAGCTCCAGATCGCCGCAGGGGCCTTCTGGAAGGCTGTTCCTTCCACCATTTCAAGGATCTGCCCCTGACCCCTAACAAGATGATCAGTGACAGATACAAGCCAATATCTCATCAAGCTGGAGAAATCAACTCTGCAAGTGCAGTTTAAGCGGCATGCTCACTCTTGTCGCAAGCAGGCTGGCTCCACGGCAAGCACGGTCCACAGCAATTCGGAACTGGTGGATACTGCAACAAGCTCGGCATCCTGAACACAATCAACTTCAAGCATCGCCGCGTAATGGGGTTTCCGTGGCGCATTGTGCGCTTGCTAGACAACAACTTGCTGACAAGAAGGAGAAAACTTCCCGAACTCGGCAGGACCTTCCCGGAGCCTCCATCAACAAGTGCCAGGTTGCACACAGGCTTCAAGACGCCTCAAGATCTTGGCCCAATCTTTCCAAACCTTGGACTCGGCATTTTTCAGCTGGTTCCAGCCATGTCCTTCCAGGTCCCT